GGTAATGAGAAAATATGTTTCTTTTATCGAGATATGCCAGCCCTGAAAATAATTACGCTTATTTAAGACTCACCCTGAAATACCAATAAAATAAAGCATTTAGTAATGCCAAAACGAAAGTATGTAGTAACTAATAAAATGCTCAAAATTTTCTCTTCACTAGTTGAAAAATGGTGATTTAAATCTGTCAATTTGTAACGTTTGCAGTATAAATCCAAGTACTGCTCACAAAGGCAAAAGAGTAAACTTTAACATATATAATTTCTCTTTTCAAGTTAGATCTTCTATCCAGCGGCGGCTCGTCAGGTGCAGTAGGTTAAGGGGCGATATTCACCGGAAAAATACTCAAATTAAAGGAAAAACTTTACTGCTTAAAATATTAATTTAGTTTAAAATATTTACATGCATCTAAATAATAAAATGGTAATTTTTTATAAGCTATTTATTTTTTTCCAGGCGGACCTCTGCATAATAGGTCCACCGAATAGTTAATTCCGACCGAGAAAGTAGCATTATAGGCCCGCACGTGCCTACAAGCCAGAAGTGCAAGTGAAAATGTTTCTATTTCTGAGCCAACGGCTGCACGGTTTCGAAGTTTATTATCGGTGACCGATGTTAATGAATTTTTGGTTTTAGGCAGTTCTTGTTCTCTTCGTCTTCCTTTTGTTCAGGAAATGGGTGACGGCGCGGCGGCGCATAATTTATGCTAATATTCAGCTACTTCGGCGAGTAATTAACCGTGTAAAGACTGTAAAGTTGTTGTTGTTATTTATTGTTGTTTAATAATCGCGTTTGTTGATTTAACTTGTTAATTTTGGTTTAATAATAACAAAAAAAAATGTTGACAAAAAGGTGAATGCAGCAAAAATTTTTCAAATAATATTTTAAAAAATGTTGACAAAATGGTGAATGCGCCAAAAAAATTTTTACCCACGAGCCGCCACTGCTTCTATCCAACGATTCTTGGAAGAATATTTTCTGATGACATAGAAAAAATGACAGAAAATACAATTTGGCTGTAAATTAAAATGAAAGACAGCAACCCTCACTATAGTCTGTGAAACGAATAATTTTGAATTTGACAGTTCCCACGCGCTTTTCTAGTGTTAATTTTATTAGGTTAGCAACTTGCGGCCATGCTGACGCAATGCCGTCTCTAATAGAACAGCCTCGGAGTGAGATTTATGACGTCACGCTAGTTAAATACTACGGATTAATAAATATGTTGTAGAATACATGGAAAACATTTGCTCGTATTTTTGGTTCGTATTTTAAAACTGATATAGTTTACATGAAATATACATAATATACAGTTAATAACTTTTTTAAGAATACTAATTCATTATCATTTATTGTTTTTGTTTATTTTTAATATTTTGTATATTTTTTAAAATTATTATTCTTAACACTAACTATCTACATTGACTATGGCTGAAATCGTACTCCATCCTAACCTAAATCCCAAGAAAATCAAAAATTTTAGAATAATTTTACATATAAAATGACAGCGATCTTTATTTTATAGCCATCGCTGACGCCTTTTTTCTATGATATTGTATTATTTGCAAATATAATTTTTCGAACATTTATACTTGCAAAATATACATATAAATTTTGTGAATGCAAATAATAATACTATCACTATTAGTAGATATTGAATGTTTTTTGTTAAATTTGATCGATTTTCAAACCCCAAAATTTAAAATATATATTACATTTTACCCATTATCTTACGTACCTATTCATTATTTGTATACTGTAAAACATTTGCTGCATTGGTATGGTTTGGCTTTTTATATATATTGTATTTATTAACTGTATATTATATATATTTCATGTAAACTATATCATTTTTAAAATACAAACCAAAAATACGAGGAATAATTATGTTTTCCATGTATTTTACAACATATTTATTAATCCTTAGTATCTAATTAGCGTGACGTCATAAATCTCGCTCCGAGGCTGTTCTATTAGGGACGGCATTGGTTTGATATTTAGAACTGTCAAACGCTGATGACATTTTACTTTTGACAATTATGACATTTCGTGTTGATTTTTGCGAGAAGAGGAAGAACTGTCACTTGTTTTATTATTTCCTTTTCTATTTCTCGAAAGTAAAAAGAGTTACCTATCTGATTCGTTCAGGCACTCAATTTAAAGAATATCAGTAACTTTTTTGACAGAGGGATTTTATATTTGCCATATTGGTAAAAAATAACGGTCAAAATTCAAAGTTATTCATTTTATAGACTATATCTGGTATTATCTCGTTTGATAGACTATACATTAATATTATGGGTCTGTCCGCCTTTCAATGCTCACTTATCCCGAATTGCCATAAACTTATATGGAAACCCTACCATAACATATCTTCCATTCAATATAAATATAAATAACGTCATGTGCAATGTAAGTTACATATTATTATGGTTTTCTATGCTCTAAATATATTTTTTCAATAATCTGAAAACAAAGTAACTGAGTTCAATAAGGTTCAAAGTTGAAATTCAAATATGATTTAATAGACTGTTTAGTTAATGTGAACGTCTTCCATATACATTTGTTAAGATGATTTGTGTTTAAATAGATAACTCGCAGTAACTGGAAAAAAAATATGTGTATTTACCAGAATCGGAAATGCCCACAAAGAAGCCCTCTAATTTTACTTTTATTTAAATAAGTTTGGTTATAAAATTTGAAAAACGAAATTAAAGGCATGATAAGTCAAAGAAGATGAATTTAGACTGAACTGAGATGCTGTAGAATGGAAGACGTTGAGTTTCTTACCAGAAATTGAGTAAGTTGTTAAGACAAGATAGAAGCCTTCTGTAAATTATGCGCCTTTATGAACAATTTTTTATAGACAATGTTTGCTACGTGTAGGTAACATAAGCCTAAATAATCTTAGAATGTTTGTGATCAAAAATTTAGATTAGATCTATATAGTTTTAGAAAATTTTAGTATGTGACTTTGTGGTATTTGATAGAAAAAAATAGGATGGAATTAGACATTTTTTCCTTCCATACAGAATAACTAATTATATAATTTTTTATTTAACTGATTATGGTTATCCTTTATAACAATTATTTGCTTAACAGCGTGAGCATAAGTAATGCAAATTACCCAGGTAACAATTTTATATTTTATAAAACTCGTAAGAACGTTTACAGAGCAAAATTTATTGAGCAATGTTTGTTCTCAGGACATCTTTAAAAACGTTCTTAAAACATTTACATCATAACAAGGGGCAGAGTTTAATTATAATTTTTCCTTCATCAAACAGCTATCTAAGGTCTGTAGGAAACACGTACAGTTCTGGCATAGAACAAATATAGAACTCTTATAGAACGATTATTTTTTTGCATGATACTATATTTAGAGAAGTATACAATTCTATAATTGGGTCTTTTAAAATCAAAATGTTTCTCTATCGCATCAAAACGCTGCACATATCAGAAATAATATGGACATCATTAAATAATCAACTTACACAGGAGCTTTTACTTTGCTGTCCGTTACAGAATTGTAACTAAGCAAGCACGATAGCTGTATAAAGAAAACATTAAATAATTTTATATGAGTTTTACAGATTCTATAAGTTTATATTTTGTTTCTATAAGCACGGTTACTCTAAAGTTATGATACTGTATATTCTTATATGGCATTTATCTTATAATTATGCTCTATGAACGTTCTTATAATAAATAAAAAAACAATTTGGTTTCTAAAAGCGAACCAGTCTCATGGAACACACAACAAGTCAGTTTCTAAATACACTATTAAAACAATAATAGAGTATAAAATTCTATTAATCTAAATTTATAAAACTAAGTACTCTGTTAGCTGGGTATGCATACATATAATACACCGAATATTCATTTATCCATTAAAAGGGATTAATTTTATTTTTAACATCTGTTTTTTTATTTCATAAGTTCTGTACTAAGTATATATTTACCTGTGTGATAATTGTATACTATGTAATTAGAAGTGAGATATCCAACTTGTTTTTGAATTTTGCTTTCACAGAATTTACAACTTAAAATAAATAAATAATGTTTTATGCATTTTATACATTTAAACCTGTTTCAAACTTACGTATTAGTAAAAATTTTATTTATATGGAAAATATACCGTATGATGAAACAGTTAAAAAAATTCTTTAGTAATTGCTTTTTATGATTTTATGCCCATTTCTAATAAATGGCATCTAGAGGTTGATCAGATTAAATTTCTCATCGATCGTCATTTCTAAGGCAACTTTGAAGCCGATTTTTTTTTTCGATCCTATGGTGTATTTTTGTATGCAAATTGGGTAATGAAATTTCTAAAGTTACTTTCATAATAATTTATTATATATAATTTATCATTTTAAATAACAAATAATTATAATATATTTTATTTTAAATTTTTATTGTCATCATATAGTCGAATGCTAACAAATTCAAAATATATTTTAATTAAGTTTGATCATGACAAAAAATATGAAAGGTACCTAAACTGTAAAGTAAGTGATATCAGACTTAAGAAATCAAAGATTTGTAATTTTCTCTAATATTGGTCAAGAATTAATATTTTGGTAAAAAATAATAAAGAAAGTATAGTGACAGCACAGGGACATTTTAAAGACATCTATAAGATAACTTGTTTCAACATTACTGACATCTCAAAGAGGTCTATTTTCGCCTTTAGACGTATTAAAGACATCTTACCAACGTTTGATGTTAAAAAACCCAACATCTTTAAGACGTCTTGAGTACAATGTCTTTAAGATATATTTTAACAATGTACTTAAGATGTCTTTTAATATGAATGAAAATGGGAGACAATGGTTAATTATAAAATAAAACATCTTCTTGGACTGGCATTGTCTTTAATTTTTAAATTAAGCATGTTTCTCTCAGATGTTACACTGACCAATATGAAGTAAACAGTTAACATTTTATAATAGTGATATATCAGAACGAAACGTTATGTGTTGGTATTTTCTCCTTGGACAACCACTGGAGGGACATCTTCAGATGTGTTATCATGCGCATCTAAAATATGAATCATAGAAATAAGATAATTGTTCAAATATATCTAACAACTTAAATGTTTTAAACTTACCTGGCTTACCTACAATATCAGCTTTAACTTCTTTGATCAGCTTTAATGATGAAATTTTGGTAAATTCTCCGATGAAACTTTATATCACGTCCCTTTCCCAAACGGTTTTGCGCGCCTTTTTACAACTCACAACAACGACAAGAACAAACATTTTCAGCGAGGTTTTCCAGAGATTCTCGATCACATAACCTCACATCAACATCAACCACAGAAGATAACTGTCACGCCTGTCAATCGTCATATTTGCGCCTATAAATTATATGAGGATAATGTTTTTATTTCTGTTAAGATTATACCACATTTCTGTTATATTAAACCAGATTATACTCTCCTTTTTTATGATTATCGCCTACTCTAGAAAAAAAACGAGATAAATAGAAAAAATTAAATTTAAAATTTCTAATAATTTCTAATGTCATTTTAGAGACGTCCTGAAGATGTTTTATTTCGTCATCTTATGAATATCTTTAAAATGATGTCCAAAAGTTGTCTTATTTTAGTCTTTAGACGTTAAGATCTAATTAAGATATAAAAAAGACGTCTTTAAGATATTATGTGCTGTCTGGGGTACTACTATACTGCCACAATACTGCTATAGTTTGTACTGTTTGGAAGTAGTAAAAAAATAATATATTAATTCTTAAAGTACAGATTGGATTTGTGTTGTTTTATACTAATGATTTTTTTCTAAATAATATAAAAGTATCTAGCAAAGTATTAGGAATTATTAAAGAATAGTTTACATTTTACATTTTTTAGACATTAGACAAAGAAACTGTGCAAAATAAGACATTTAAAATTACTGACATTTAAATTTGTTATTTTAACTTTCTCTTTAGATCGTGATTACTTCAATTTACTTACCATTTTCAGCTAGATTTTACCAAATCATATGTAATTCATAAGTTGAATATATTTTTTGTATTTATTACGTAATGTAATTTCAATGAAAAGATCTAGTCCTATTTGTATAATATGTAGTTATGTAATGATGTATATAATGTTAAGATTGTGCCTCAGTATAAAAGAATTGAATAAAAAAATAAAATTAATGCAGAATTTTTAAGAAATTCTGAGTAATTTTAAATACGTATTCCTCAACTGCCCCCACGAATGAAACTTACCATTTCTTGTTTAGAAATTATTAACAAATATATATCAATTTAGATTTAATACCGAATAATTTGTTTGAAAATTCTGCATTCAAGCACAGCCTATTCAGTAGCCAGATAGTCAACTTTATATTTGAGTACGCAAACTTGTTATAGTACGTACACATAAATTCAAAAGTTTTGCATCACTCTGAGTGTTCGAAAATAAACTGCTTTTTTTCAAGACTAGACCAGAGCCACTACGATCGTTTTTATTGAAGAAAATTACAGTTGATTCTTTTATTTTATTTTTATTATAATAATTTCTTTCAAACATAAAAGAGTATTCTAATAAGAAGTAAAGTAATTTTCATTAAAAAGTAAACTACGAATCTCTAAAAAGTATATTTCCACCACATGAAATAATAGGTTGCATTATTAATTATATTGCAGACAAGTTTCAAAACTCTTCGGACAATGCTACGTGTTCTTGGGTCCTTGCAATCGGCTAACTGGTCGACGTCACACCAAACATTTCGCAATATTCGAAGTACCAAGGCATGTTTCACATCTCTTTGTAGGATGACATTGCCATAGTAGGATTTTGCTGTATAGTTATGTTAGCGAATATGCTGTTGATTGGTAATACGCCATTGACTGGTAATACGCTTTCATGGGTAATCGCTCAGTGAATTGGTCTGGAGATAGCAATTCCATATTCGAGACACATCACTTTGCCAAACACCAACTCTATCAACCACGGAACTTTGAAAATGATCCTTTTCAACCAGAGCGACTATTTTGCACGGTCAAACTCAATTACACAAACTCATACATTTTTAGAATTTAACAATATATAATATTTTATAATTATATATAATAGCCTTAAGAATAATCACATTGAAAAGGCTATTCTTGTAGTAGACATTTTTGTATTGCAAATATGTCATGATTTACAATGAAAAACATTGACAAACAAGTCCCCAAAAAATGAATGAAGATGTTTCCTCGAAAAGTTCTTTCACACTAAAACAAAGTGATGCAAAACTTTTGAATATGTGTGAAGATGGAGCCAATCAGAGCAACAGTCTCGATAGTTGCTGAACGAGGCTCCCATGGAGGTCAGAAACCGACTTGTTACATAGTGGATTGGCTTTTATTGAATAGACTGTTATTTATAACTTAATATAAATCAATGTTATTAACTTAAATAGAGACATCCATGACATACAAAAATATATAAAAATAATCTGGTGTAAGTATTTGTAAAGAAAATAAAACAAAGTTGTTAAATATTTAACGAGCATTTTTAGGAACTATCTATGTTTCAATACTGTAATTTTTTTATTCCAATATTTCTTTTAGTTCATAAAATATTGGTTTAAAGGGAGTTTAATAGAAAATGTGTATAAAGAAGTAATAAAAATATTAGGCTCAATATTTTGATTGCTTTAAAGTGACTTGATTTATTCAGTATTTTTTGCAAATGTAAGACTTTTTTTGGTAAAATTAATTTATTTTGGAATGTTTGTAAATATTCTGTAAGTTTTTAGTAAAATATTTTTACATCCCGACAATACCATGTTATTGTAAAATATTTGCGATTGTTAAGCAATTCTTAATAAATAATTAATAAATCTAAACAACGGATATTTCATTTCTACTTCATTTAATATTACTTCATCTGAGACTACCCTTTTTATAATCAAATTTCATTTTCTAACTAAACCTCGATATTTGTTTACTCGATTCGATTATTTTTTCGATATTAATCACGATATCCCGGAAATTTCGAAAAATTTAATTACCCACTCTTAAGATCATATTTTATTTGAGGCGTCAAGTTGCAAAACCCGCCTTATTCGTTTATTTTTAAAAATTGCTAATGATATACATATGAAGACTACAGGGGAAAAACGATCTAAGTCTTTCTTACTTTTGAGATAAATGATTTTGAAACTTTAAAGACTAAAGGAAAAGAAATAATAAAATGTAGCGAATCGTAAGAAGTTTTTATCAATAGCTATATGTATTATAGACATTAACTGATTAACAGACAAAACAAAGAAAAATAATTTGTAGCAAATTTGTTAGATAAAATAAAACTCGTATTCGCTTGGTTCAATGGAAAAGTCATCCAAGTCCATATGGAATAATTCTGTATGTGGTTACTCCGAGGATTACTCATGCTGGAATAAAGAGAAAAATATGTTTTTATTCTCATTTTTATTATTATGTTTCTAGTTACTCACTATTGTGATTTTAGAGTATATGACGGGTTAACACCAAGTCGTATGTCTATTACATAAATTTTCTTACTATAGTTGTAGTTTTTAGGATTACAGCTTTCTGCATGTTAGTGTGAATGTATGGGGGTAGATCGATTGATTGTTATATTGAGAGAATGCTTTTGTAGTTATACCTGTTACTGATATAACTATAGGTATAATTGTTACTTTATTTTGTTTCCACATTTTCTGAATTTCTATAGCAAGTGGTGTGTATTTTTCAATTTTTTCTCTTTCTTTTGATGTTACATTGCTGTCGTTGGGTACAGCGATATCGATAATAAATGTCTGTTTATCTATTTTATTGATCAGTGTTATGTCAGGCCTATTGTTTATTATTGTTTTATCTGTATGGATTGTTCTGTCCCAGTACAGTTTATGTGTTTCATTTTCCATTACGTTTTCGGGAGTGTACTTATAATATTGCAACCCTGTTGTCATTAAGCTGTATTTGAGTGTCAGTTCTTGATGGATTATCTTTGCTACCGTGTTATGTCGATCAGTGTAATCTGTCCCCGCTAGTATTTTGCAACCCCCCGTTATATGCTCGATTGTTTCTGGATACTGCTGACATTTTCGACATTTGTCTGTATCCATTCTCTCTTTCAGTATATATTCCCTATAATTTTTGGTTGCTATGACTCTGTCCTGAATGGCTAACAGAAACCCTTCAGTTTCAGTGAATAGTTGCCCTACCGACAACCACTTGTATGATAATCCTACATCTATTTGTGAGTTTTGCATTACGGCATAATGCGTCCCGTGAAGTGCCTTACCTGCCCAGGTATCTTTCTTTTCTTGTTTTGGATTTGTGCATCTATTTTCCTCAGCATTATCACCGGTATTATATTTGTTTAAGTTGAGCGGAGTGTACTGCTTATCTGCTATTAGAATTGCTCGATGAAGAGGTGTGATTTTATTTCTGAAATATTTCCTTAGATTTTCTATTTGTGTATTATGTAGTACTTTTATATCTACTAAGCCTCTTCCTCCTTCCTTCCTACTTAATGTGATTCTTTCGATGCATGACTTTGGATGTAGTTTACGATGTCACACAAGTCTGTTTCTGACCATTTAACAATGCCAAATGAATATGTTAAAACTGGGATGGCATAACTATTTATCGCTTTTGTGATATTTTTAGCATTCAACTTTGACTTAGCTATTTGTCTAAATCTGTATTTGTATTTAGTTTTTAATTGATTCTTAAGGTATGTGTGATCTATATTTTTATTTTGTTCGAAACCAAGGTATTTGTATGTTTCTTGTGGCTCCATATTTTTTAGTATTTGATTGTTTAGTTTTTCTGTTTCGATGTGCTCTTTATATTTTCCTTTTTCAATGTGGAGAATTCTGCATTTATTTATACCAAACTGCATGCATGTATCTTGTGTAAACTGTTCTGTTAAATTTAGTAATAATCTCATTTCCTTTTGATCTGGGGCGAATATTTTTATGTCATCCATGTATAACAAGTGGTTTATTTTATAGTAACAGTTATTTTCATATTTTATTTTAACTCCGTAAGTTGTGGCGTTTAGTAGGTTTGAAAGGGGATTGAGGCAGAGGCAAAACCACAGAGCGCTCAAAGAGTCACCCTGAAATATCCCTCTTCTTGCTTCTCTATTTGTTTCATAATGATAGTATTTATAATGATCTGCTATTTACATCCTCGGCTATTTTTTCGACATCCTTTCTGTTCTTCTAGTATTATGTCGTTTTGTGTTAGGTGATTGTCAATCTTTTGTGTTATTAGAGACGTAATTATTTTATACAGGGTAGGTAAACATGTAATCAGTCTGTAGTTGGCAGGATTTTGTGTGTCTTCACTTTTAGGTTTTATGTATGTTTTTCCTTGTGTTAGAAAATGTGGCATGTTTTGTGGCTCTAGTATAATGTTGTTTATTAGTTTTAATAAGTGTTGATGTATTGCTGTAAACTTTTTATACCAGTAGTTGTGAATGTGGTCTACTCCAGGGGCCTTCCAGTTGTGGGTTTTTTGTATGGTTTTAGTTAGCTCTTCTATTGTAAATGTAGGATTTGCTTGTTGTTGTATATGTTTGTACTTATTTTGTTCTTCTTCAATCCACGTTATTGGGCTTGACCATATACTTTCCCAAAATTGTTTGATTTCTTCTGCATTTGGAGGTAATATTGAATTGTGTTGGTTTGGCCAGGCTGGAATAAAATAGTTTTTGACTTGCATTAAATTGTGCGTTTTGTTTCCTTCTTTCGTTAGATTCGGTGTATCTTTTTAGTCTAGTAGAGTATACAGCTAACTTTTGTTTTAATGTATCTAATGCTTCTATTGGTGTTTCATTGTTGTTTTTATTGATGATGTGCTTTAATTGTTTAATGACTTGTTTTGATCGGTTTCCCCCGCAATATTGTGTCAATCTACCTAGATCTTTCCTTATATTCTCTATTCTCTTTTCTATCCTAATAAGCCAAGTAGGTTTCAGTTGCTTTCTATTACAGTTTCTTTTGTTGTCTCTAAGTTGTTTATTTTGTATTATCACCGTTGTAGCGGATGCATATACCAGAAGAAGAAGGTCTTCTAATGTGATTGTGTTCTCTATTTCTTCTTTTATTAAGGTATTGACTGTATTAATAATGTTGTTCGTGTGTTTTTTAAATATAAGTTTTGGTAATGGTGGCCGATTGATTGGATCGATTCGTGTCCATTTAATTATATTTTCTTATAATTCGTTGTATATTCCTTCAGCGCTTAGTGATGTTTTTATTTGTGGTCTTGGCACTGTGGTAGTTGATGGAGTTTCTATGATTTCTATTTGTTGTTTCTAGAGTTGTTGTTTGCGTTGGTTGCATTTATTTATTAATATTTATTAATATAATTTATTTATTAATATTGTTATTATATTTTCTTAATATTTTTTTATTTATTTCTTATTTTTATTATTGTTTTTTTATTAATATTATTAGCATTAGATTATTTTTTACTTAGGAATGGCGATTTGTTTCTGATAAAATGAAACTACACTACTAGACAGTTCCCTTATGGTTCCACTAGAACATATCCAGAATTTAACTTCTTTGAATTTAAAACTAGTGAGTGACACAATAGACATAATCAGACTTCTTTTCTTAGGCAGAAATAAAAACAATATACTTTAATTGATATTACTCATCATATCTGCATCGTTTAGATGAGCATTGTTTGACGCACAAGGGAAATTGTGTAGTAGTCTTGCAGAGATTCATCTACGAACTTTTTCAAAAATTGCTCATACTTGAGTTTGGGCAAAGGAATTAGGTGAGCATAAAGTTGTTTTTATATTTTTATTCGTTTTGTATGCGTTGATATGTTTAAAAACATGAAATATGGACTTGGATCGGTCTTCCGTGAATTCACGTGGACTTAAATCGCTTTTCCAAAGTACTAATATTTTAATTGCTGATTTTAGTGGACCTAGATAATTATTTCAGTGTTACATTATTCCTATTTTGGAACGGACACTTAATGGGCATAAGTTATCTCAATTTCCATTTTTTTGTACATCCGTTTTTCCCGTGTAGTCTTCATATGTATACAGGGTGGCGCACCTCATTCGCCTCGGTGGATTATACGAAAACAAAGAGACGTAGAAACAAAATATTTTATGGGTATATGTGGGAAGGCAATGTGCATAATTTAAAATTATTTTGAAATGTACAGGATGTGTCAGAACTAAGATCCATACCAAAGTTATATTTTTTCTTATGGAACACCCGGTATTTTATTTTATTTTTGTATTCTTGGACATAAAATAAGACATTTATTATAAGGGTTTAATATGTTTAAAAGCTTTGGTTTTTGAGATATTTAAAGATATTTAAATATGCATGCTATAATAAAAAAGTTTGTCAACACCTTGTACATTACTTATCAGGGTTAATTCTTGTGCTGACTTTGAAGTCAGAGAAATAAAGTTTAAATGTATACAGGGGTATCAAAAATTGCTGTTCTATTTTAAATATTTATTTTACAGAAAACCTTTGTTATTTCAAATGCAACACTATGTATTTTTTTAAATAAGTCGAAGCAGATTTAAATGCTCTTTCAAGCTATATTAGGGTTTCCTATGCCTATCTCGCTCAGATTTTGAATAAAAAGCGATTTTTCAATAAAATTGTAATCAAGATGGCTGATGTCGCCATGGCAATTTTCTATTGACACTTAGTAGTTATTTTCAAAATCGACATTAGTTTATGGACTTTATTTAAATTTATAACAGGTTATTTGTATTTAATTTACCTACAATAACGTTAATAAGTAAGTATTTATTATTTTATCAAGAAAAATGAAGCAGTATCTACTGGTGGAAGGAATGGATATGTGATTTTATTTTGTAAGGACCATAATTGCTTGTTGGCCTGAAGGGTTTATGCTCAAAGATATCCAAATAGAAATTTTCTTGGCAAGAGTTTTTTTAAAATACTACTTTTCCTATTTCGCAGAGCTGATAGTGTGGTATGTGCAAAACCTATTAAGCAGAAACCTGTAGTTGGAAGTGACGAAAGCGAATTTGCCTTAATTGGTTCTTTTATAGAAAATCCAATATACCTACAAGTCATCGTAATATAAATCAAAGAACTACTTTTTCTTGACAAAATAATAAATAATTACTTATTAAACTATTGTAGGTAAATTGAATAAAAGTAAACTTATAAATTTAAATAAAGCCCATCAAGTAATGTCGATTTTGAAAATAGCTACTAAGTGTCACAAGCAAATTGCCATGGCAACACCTTGATTACAACATCTTGATTACAATTTTATTGAAAAATCGCTTTTTATTCAAAACCTGAGCCAAATAGGTATAAGGAACCCTTATATAGTTTGAAAGAGCATTTAAATCTTCTTCGACTTATTTTAAAATATACATAGTGTTGTATATGAAATAACGAAGTTTTTATGTAAAATAAGTATTTAAAATCGCCCAGCAATTTTTGATACCCCTGTATACATTTAAAAAAGCAATAATATTTTTTAGTAATGTTTATTTCTCTGGCTTCAAAGGCAGCACAAGAATTAACCCTGAAAAGTAATGTACAGGGTGTTGACAAATTTTTTATTATAGCATGCATATTTAAATATCTTTAAATATCTCAAAAACCAAAGCATTTAAACATATTAAACCTTTATAATAAATACCTTATTTAATGCCCATGAATCCAAAAATTAAATAAAATAGAGGGTGTTCCATAAGAAAAAATATAACTTTGGTATGGATCTTAGTTCTGACACACCTTGTACATTTGGAAATAATTTTAAATTATGCATATTACCTCTCTACATATACCCATAAAAAGTTTTGTTTCTACATCTTTTCGTTTTGTATAATCAACCGACGTGAATGGGGTGCGCCACCCCGTATATTAATAGTAGGACCCTGAGATCTACATAAACATAGTCCCAAATTACAGCAAAAGTCGCCTATTCCTATATAAAATTCACTATAAATTACGTTACTGTAGCAAAATCCGTCTTATCCACTTATATCTAATAAGTCAAGTTAGGATGCAAATATCTTGCTGTAGCAAAACCCGCAATATGCATCATACTGCAACAAAACCAGCCCTATCCGAATTATTTTTGTATTTTTTTTTCTCTTTAACAATGATTCCACTAAATGGACACGTTTTTTGTAAAAAACGCTTCAAACATTAGTTAAAATCCTCCTCTACTGAGAGGCAGGAGACTCAAACTCACAGTCTTGTATAAAAAAATATTTTAAATTTTTACTATTTAAATAAGGGGGCAATAATTTTCAGGAATCAAATCCCATCCTCCGGCCCAAAAACTAAAAATATTATAAAAAAAAAACAATCAAAGTAAGTCAAACATACCTGTCAAACGAATAAAGTCAAGTAACAATAAAATACGGATACACATCATAAAAAGTTAAAATTATCCAAATTATTTGTACACAGAAATGTTATAGAATGCCAAGCTGAGATTTATAACAAACAAAATACAATTACAATGACACCATTTTTTTTTATCAATATAAACTTTCTCAAATATCAAGAAGAGTACTTAAACGATTTCTGAAGGAAGGGAGGATCAAATTCAATTTTCAAAACTCCTATATTTATATGAAAAATAAATCTTATTTTTACGTGAGGAATCCGTCCACGAGAGATGGCACATATTTTTGAAACACCCTATACAGGATTGTTCACCACATACGACACCGAGTATTGTAGCTAAACGATTATATTTTTACAAATTTCAAGTTTTGGGTTCGATGAAGGACTATTAGAGGTACAATTTAAAAATAATTTGACAAGATACAGAGTGTCCCAAATAAATAAAAAATATCAAAGTTGTATTTTTTTAAATGGAACACCCTGTATGTTATTACATTTTTAGTTTCTACGATTAAAATAAAGGTAAATTTGATTAAGGTTTATTATACTTAAACCTTACCGTTTTTGAAATATTTTCAATTTTGGGAAATTGCAGTAAAAATTTTAAGGCCTCATTTCTCCAAGGGTATCAAAGTTTTTAATACTAAATATTTACTGAAGTTTATTTATTGATCAGTTATTGTGTTGCAATAATAAAAATAATACTACCTTATACAGAGTGTCTAAAAATTTATTTTAAATAATTTCTAGCTTTAAACGCCAATAACTTCTTTAACTTAAATGGAACGCCCTGTATATTTTAGGAGAATCAGATGCACAATTTAATTGTCTCTCAAATTGTATTATACTATTTTTTACCTATCCCTTCAAGTTTTCGTATAAAATGCATTTTCTTATAATTTAGACCCTATTTATCAATATACCCATGGAATATTGACATTTTAGATTGTTTTTAAAGCAACAAATGTACAAAATGTACAGGCTAGTAATATTATCGTTTTTAGCAAAACGATAATATTACTAGCCCATTTTTATGCAAAAAGAAAACTATTTAAATCTTTATAAAAGAGTATACCATTAATTAAATATAACACCATTATTTCCGCCCATATACTAATTAATTACATACTTAATTGTGTTCGTTAATAAATTATTCTAAATAAATGTGGATTTGAGTCAGAAATCAATATAATAATAAGTTATCAAAATTAAAGTCTCTGTTGTTATAAGTAAGTATTTATTAAAAAATGATATATCATTTTTAAGGTGTTTCTTTCTATCACACTGTCTAAAACCCATACAAAATTCAGTTTTTTAGTATTTGGAGCAATTATTATTAATCAACGCAAACAGTCAGTTAATGTAGTTTGAATACTGGAATCATATTAATTGGTCCCCTTTATCAAATATTTAAACAGTTTTTTTTATTTTTTAATGAAATAAACAAATTATATCGACAATATTATATCTTTACTCTAAGATACAATATTGGTATCTTTACTCTTTAAAAATTTGGTACATCTTTAAAAATAATCTAAAATGTCAATATTCCATAGGTATATTGATAAATAAGTTCTAAATTACAAGAAAATGCATTTTCTACGGAAACTTAAACAGATAGGTAAAAAATGGTATAATATAATTTGATAGACAATTAAATTGTGCATCTGATTCTCGTAAAATATACAAGGTGTTCCGTTTAAATTAAACAAGTTATTGCCGTTTGAAGCTAATAATTATTTAAAATAAATTTTCAGGCACTCTGTATAAGGTAGTATTATTTTTATTATTGCAACAAAATAACTGATCAATAAATAAACTTCAGTAAATATTTAGTATTAAAAACTTTGATACCCTTGGAGAAATGAAGCCTTAAAATTTTTACTGCAATTTCCCAAAATTGAAAATATTTCAAAAACGGTAAGGTTTAAGTATAATAAACCTTAATCAAATTTACCTTTATTTTAATCGTAGAAACTAAAAATGAAATAATATACAGGGTGTTCCATTTAAAAAAATACAACTTTGATATTTTTTACTTATTTGGGACACTCTGTATCTTGTAAAATTATTTTTAAATTGTACCTCTAATTTTATTTTTTAAATTCTTCATCGAACCCAAAACTTTTTGTGAAAATCTCATCGCTTAGCTACAATACTCCGTGTCGTATGTGGTGAACAACCCTGTATAATGGAATTAAGAAGAATCAAGAAGAAGTTTATCCTCTTGTAAAGACAATCCGGGGACATACTGTAGTCTTTATTTACTAAAGTCTATTTAGTATTTGCACCTGCCTACCAAATTTGTACGGAACACTCGGTAGGCGAGTCCGATTCGCACTTGTCTGATTTTTTTTTGATTTTGGCAAAGAAAATTATATAAAAAAATTCTTATTTTTTTTTAGATACCTCCCGAATTCTCTCGCACTTAATAATTTACACTCTGTATATCTGAATTTCAAAACAATTTTAATTCATGATTCGGTCAATAACTTTAAATTCTTAAAAAAAAAAACGTCTATATTAAATAACCATCGACGCATAAAAGCGACAATTATAAAAAAATATGGTAATTACTTTTTAAACCAGGAAATGTTTACGATAAAGTAAAAAAATATTATTTTATTTCCTGTCGACATTGATACAGATCCCTTTTTAACTTAAATCTCGAAAAAAGCGGACTATAATTCCATTATTTATCGACACTAAATAAAAAACTACGCCAAGTTCAAGACTGTTCCTCAGAAATTTGCGAATAACATTATTAATTCTGCCTTGTTAAGGAAAATAATAAAATTTAATGCGCGACGCCGCTTTTTCAAACCCGCGGTAATCGCGCGCCAGCACGTCAATCTCGGCCGCTTGACGCTTGCGCCCTCCGTCTATTTTGACACGTTTCATATAATGCAGAGTGGGCGCTAGAATGGCAGTCGGTGTCGGTGCGCGGATTTGTTGACTCGAAAATTCCTGTTGAAAATCGAAACCAAAGACGATAACCATGCTGCAGGGCTACTCACCGATCATGCAAGCCTTCCTGGGCACCCTGTTCACCTGGGGACTCACGGCATGCGGGGCTTCGCTCGTCATTGTGATAAGAGGATCTCAGGTTAGAATCATAACCTCACTTGTCAAAACATTATCGGATGTAAACAAACGTTGTTTAGATGGGGTTTCTTGTGTTCGTTTCCTAATTTTGTGAATAAAAGCAAGTGATATTATCGGAAATTTCTAAAGGATTTAGTCTGCTTTATGTGTACGATGTAATTTATTTGTTTGATTGGAAAAAAGTATGTGATGTTTGTTTAGTGTAAAGTTCATTGTAATGTTGTTTTGGTATGAAGCAATTTTGTCAGATTTAACTCCTTTAAACGAAAAGTGTATTTTTTCAAGCTCTGGCTGGTTTATTCTTTAAAAATAGCGTACCTATGTTAGTTCAAAACGCACATGAGCCTTTTTTCATAAGTTCGATTTCATAATATTATAATAAATATTCCAATTTATAAAGAAATGCCTGTACCTATTCAAATAAATTAAAGCCTAATTTAATATATTCTAGTTATTTACTGGATAAGGTCTAGTTACTCATTTTTTTATATAATCATTAAATACTACGACTTTTATCACGTTAACATATTTATGATTGAATAATGTATACCTACCTACTTTCTCTCAATTAAAATTATAATAAATAAATGCATATAGAATTACATTTTGCAATAAAATATAACAACAAACGTGCATTTGCGTCAATTTGAAAATATTTATGTATATTTAAATGTTCAGCAAGATATGTATATTTTTTAAAATGTTTATTTAACTTTAAAAAAAATGACATAAGAAACATAAACAATTTCCTAATTTAATCTGATTAACAGCTAATAATTTTAAATTTTTATCAAAGAAACATTATTTTTACATACCTAATTGGTTATTTATTCAAGTTTCATGTATTCATAACATAAATACTTACCTATTTAAAAATTACAAATATATTTACCTATTTATGTGTAAAAATTTTAGATACTTCTTATAACTACTTGTTATTGGATATTAGAAAATATTAGAAATATATCTTCAATACTTGGGTTTCAAAAATTATAAATATTTAAAAGGTACTCAGGTAAATAACATGTAAATAACATGCTGCAATAAAAATAAAGTGATAACATTATTTTGCAGTGAATAAATACTATTGTTACTGATGCAAATTTATAACTGATTGGCTCAATTTACAGCTTAAATAAATATACAACATAATAAAAATAAACGTTCTATATACTTATATCTTAGTATAATCTGGATGATAGATTTTTAATTTATTTTAATCAACATTATGTGTTTTTTTATAATACACGTTTATTTTATGGGGCTCATTTTTGCAAAATTTGCAAAATCTTGTAGCATAATTTTAAGATAATGGAATTGTGTTTGTATGTTGTTTATGTTTACCTATTGATTTTGATTACGTATTTGAAGATTTGGTTTCAAACGAAAATAAGTTAATTTTACTTTTATATCAGTCATATTGTTACTTTACTAAATCTAATTTTAGTAGTCTATTAAAGATACACTTTATATTGGACTTTGTTCAGGTGGCATATGTATAAATAAACTCAATAGACCCCCAAAAATATGTTTATGTTAAACAACCTATTCTAAAAGTCCTTTACCTGGGCCAGGTAAGAGTTGGATTAAAAAGAGATACATACTTAATGGAATGTTTTCAAGTTTAAGAATTGTTTTTAGTATATTATTTGGATTCGTTGACCCTTACCTGTTGACCCTACTTCTAAACATTGAATGACACGAAGTCTTACAGACTTTAAGCAAAACTAGTTTTCTCCGGGTTTTATGTTTTTAGGGTTCCGTATCTCAAAAGGAAAAAACGGAACCCTTATGAGATCACTTTGTTGTCTGTTCGTCTGTCTCTCAAAACCCTTTATCTCGAGAAGGCGTGGAGGTATCAAATTGAAATTAAAACCATATACTCATGTCTATAGTCCCTTGAAGTTGTGAAATCTCTAAGTTAACGTAAAAAAGAGATACAGCCGTTTATGCCGCAAAAAACGTGTATTTCGACAATTTCAAAGGAATCAAAATTTTAAAGTGTTGTCCGTTGAACTATGAAATAAGGCACTTACCGCCTTATATGTCCTATACCAAGTATAGGGAAAAATTTGAAAACTATACATTTGTAATTAAATCATAAAAAATACAGTCTTTATTTAAAGTACGTAATCAATCATCGAACTTAAGCTCGGTCATAATTGTCTTAATGGTCTGGTGTCTTGTCTTGTCTGGTCATAATATTTTTGTAGATTTTTTGAACTTTTATTATTCTGAATTGAGTTAACCGTGTCATGTGCGGTATCGTATGAAAGGGCAACATTGGCACAAGCTTAAACAGATTTTTAATTATTTTTTGGAAACTAAATTTCGGGTAAATCTCGGAAAAAACTACGAGAATTGATTCCCGGTGCTATTTTAATATGTACCTACATATTTGTACGGAACCCCCGCCTCGGTGGGCGAGTCAGACTCTCACTTGTCCGGTATTTTTTTTTTATCTAAAGGTGCCCACACATATACAGTTTTTCCTCAAGGCAAAACTGCACATTCGAAGCTTGGAAATTTTTATTTTTTTATCCATTTTCTGCAGGATTTCTCTGGTTCTTTTTCTTTTTTATCGACTGCTCCATGATCGTTTCTTCAGTTTTGTGATTAAGTTCTAGCCCATTATCGGTTAATTCATCGCTATACATCATTGTGTACACCATTAAACTATACACCATAACATGTACAGGGTGGGTCAAATTCGACGCTTTTAAATGGAAACACCCTTTTCTATAGGAGATAGACAAAAACTAATATCGGTGTCTGGAGCTCAATTTTCGTCAAAAACATGATAGTGAAAACCGCACGTCGATATCTGTTACCGTTTCGGAGTTACAGGGTGTTTTTCAAAAATATGCATTTGTAACAAATCGCTGTAACTTTTTTGCTATGGAAAATTTCGTATTCTTATGAAAACATTTCCAAAGCACCTTTATACGTAGAATTTAATGGTTTAAGTATAATTTTGTAACCAGAACATTTGATTTTTTATATGGGACACCCTGTATATTTGTAATTTATTGAAAAGAATTTAAAATTACCTTTCCAAAAATATAATACACTTGATATTTTGCTCGATTCCTCTTCGAGATATAGAGTATATAAAAATTCGGCCGGCTTTAAATAAGTAGGCTTTGAACGGCACCAGCTGTACTGCAAAAAAATTCTAGCTGTGAGCATCAATTAAAACGAAAATAATATATGCTATGGGAGATGCAGAATTTTATAACAATTTAAATATATATTTAACCAACATCAACACATTTAAACTATATCTAATAACAATAAAAATAAATAGCAAACCAAGGCATGAGATTTTGTTACAGGTGTTCGACCTATCGACCGTCTTCTGTTATGGACAGACGGGGCAGTTTTTGAACATTTCTCGCGAAATTCATTAACTCAGTGAGTGCTCTCATAACTGCTAAGTATTTTTAATTCTTGTCTAGATTATACGGAAGAATAAGGAACCTTTATCCTTCCGTAAATGTATCCATAGGATTAAATCCATGGGCACTAAGACAGGCGGCCTCGGCGGCCAACGGCTGGGATCTTGGTTAGGTTAGGTTAGGTTAGGTTAAAAATTTGCTGATAATTTCAGCGTTCAGAGGCGGTGCGTCGTCTTGCTGGAAAAATATGTTTTCGAGTTCCATTAAGGGCTTATTATCAATAAGGGGCCTACTAGTTAAAAGTGGCGAACTTTTAAAAATTCTGTATTTCGAAGGGGATTATGACAAAATATCAAGTGTGCTATATTTTTGGAAAGGTAATTTTAAATTCTTTTTAGTTAATTAAAAATATAGAGGGCGTCCCAAATAAAAAATCAATTTTTCTGTTGATAACTCTTAGATTATTAATTTTTAAAAAAATATACTTAAACCATTAAATTCTACGTAAAAAGGTGCTTTGGAAATGTTTTCATACAAATACAAAATTTTCCATAGCAAAAAAGTTACAGCGATTTGTTAAAAATGCATATTTTTGATAAACACCCCGTAATTCCGAAACGGTAACAGATATTGATGTGCGGTTTTCACCATCATGTTTTTGGTGAAAATTGACCTCCAGACACCGATATTAGTTTTCGTCTATCTCCTATAGAAAAGTGTGTTTCCATTTAAAAGCGTCGAATTTGACCCACCCTGTACACTAGGGTGTCCATTATTTACAAAGTCGATCATTTCTCTCACGACGCCCTCCAAATTTTTAGTTTATTGTCTAAAAAAAATAACAGACCATTGTAAACCTGTAATATTAACAATAAACCTTGCCCCAAAGACGATTTATTTCCCATTTCAATTACATAGGAAACTGCCACATTTTGCAAATATTTTTTTTTCTCTTGATCTTGTTCTCTCGCAGCCATGACAACTACGTTCTTATGCAGAATTGAACGCTCTATAAAAAAGGTCTTTTACAATTTTTCGATAAACCTACTCCAAAAGTTATTCACGGTTAAAATTAACCACTGGGTAAATTCCTAAATTCTTCAACTTTTTTGACAAAATTATGATTATTTTTGAGAAATTTAAAAAAAAAACTGTAAAAATATACATTTCTGATAGTGTTAAGGTTGGGAATTAAGAAATCTTGAGGTACAATGAAGTTTAAACAATTTAAGTATAGCTGATTTATTTTAATAAACATTCTTTAGTTGGATTTTCATATTTCTTATACTCGTTTACAATCTGAATCACATATTGTTTTTGATCTTCACTTCTAGATAAAATATTAATGTGTTTTTCTGACAATTTAACAGCTCCTTCTGCAGTATCATTAACTACTCTCAAATTTTTCACAATTTCTAAGCGTCTCTTATATCCGGGATCCTTTAACCATTCCGTACTGTCTAACTGCAGAAAACTTATGTTATCTGTCGGTATCAATATTAATCCGTGTAAAAATTGTAACGAATTTGAATTTATGAAATAATCAATGTTTTTGTTTATAAACCATTTAAAATCATCTTGATGAAAAATGAAGCGTTTAGAA